CTTTCCTTGGACTAGAGCAGCATTTCTAAGTTAATGTACAGTGAAGGGGTGACCTTAGCCTTAGACATCTCTGCCAAATTCAGGAGTTCACAGTGCAGCATAAGAGTAACTTTTGTGCTTGGAAACCCTGACTGTCATCATGTCTTGTCCAGCAGTAAGTAAGGCTGCCCATTTAGTTCTGCCAAGGACAGAGGAGTCCATAAAAATTTTCCTGATACAGCAACATGAGCAATGCTGAACCCAGCATGGTCAGCTAAGGGTGAGAAATACAAGTTGGATCTCACTGCTGTGGACTCAAGGAATGAGTAGAAATACTCAGTGCTTACATGTTCACTTTGTAAGTGCTTTGAGATGCTTTATGTAAGATGGGAAGGTATTATACCTAGTTCAGACTTTCTAAGGCAGCTATAACCATTTTTTAAATAATCCGTGCCCATTATACAGATGGAGGAAACAAAGACAGGAGAATGACTTAAAGCCAGTTCAGTAGGAGATTAGAAACTCTCTGCTGTCACACATTCCTAATGGTGTTATACATTGAATTGGATACTGGAGGGCAAGTATCTTGAGGGAAGGTTTCCCATTACTCCTACCAGGCAACCAAAGTTGAATAAATGGATGTGCGCAGGTAAAGGGTACAGTAGCAAAAGAGAAAAATGAGGCAGGAAAGAAGTGTGTTTGATTGCATCACCACGAGGGTATAAGGAGCTTCCTGTGCTGCAGGTGGCAAAGGACTGAAATCTCCTTTAGCATGCACTGGCTCCATCCCAGTTACAGTGAAGACAAACTCCTTTCAGCCCAGATGCATACCCATACCTGAGAATGGGTTGATCGCTTCCTCTCTTCAGCGGAAATGAAGCAGATGCTGAAGTTGTCTGCCTAGTCCTTGTGCGGGCACAGTTCTAGGGATTGGATGGAAGCCTTATGGGACACTTACAGGAAATGTTTCAAAAACATCACCCAGATTTAGGAGCACGCGTCCTATTGAATGTCACTGGCACATGTGACTTTGATGCTTATAAAAAAATCTTCCCAGTGGTATGATGTTATTGTTTTGGGTTTGGTATTTGTCTCTCTCTCTATATATAAAAAATAGTTTTAACCATTGGTCCTGCTGAGGGAGTTGTCTTTGCAGGAATTCCCTGGGTGAGGCCAAGAGTGCACTGGAGAGCTCGCACTCGTCTCCAAGACGTGCAAGGTTGCTCTGAGGAATTTCCTCTATGAAAAACATGGGGTGTGTCATCATCATTCAGCAGCAAAGACAGGAAACTTTCAAGGGTCAGGCGAGCAGTCATCATAGCAGCTGGCTTTCACAGCTCACCTAGACAGGGTGGGGTTTGGCAAGTACCTGAGTGTCACTGTTCATCTGAATAACTTCCCGAGCAGTGACCTGTTGGTGGGAGGAGGCATACGGTGCTAATATTGGTGCTATTACTCACCTGCCTAACACAGATGGTGCAGATTCCCACCCTTCAATGCAAGGAGCAGCCCTCTCCGGCGAAACGGAAGCAAGGGCTGTCGCTAAAAGTGGCCCTTGGTCTCACCTTCCTAATTAGGGTGCTGGCTTAGCACAGTCAGTGCCGGACGGGAAGTGGAGGGAACCTTATTGGTCCCTGAGGTCAGAAAAACAGTGATGATGTGTAATGCTGTTGGCTAGGTGTGGTGGGAAAGACTGTAAAGCAGAGGCGCTGCGGTAATGCCAAGCATGGGAAAGGAGGCAGGAGTGAATTTTGCAGAGCAGGAGGGTTTGCTTGAGAATGATCAGTCATCCCGCCTTGTATGTTGTCTCCACCATTTCCACTTGCATCAGAGGGATGTGGTGACCTCTTTCCATCCAATGCCCACTCCCCCTTCACTCCCAGCATCACTTTTCTGAATGAAGTCTGGTTCCTTGGGCAGAATAAACTCCGGCTGTCTCCAAAACAGCTTTCTCTTTCCACCAGGGAACTGGATTCTCATAAATCCTAATGCTTCCTGCTGTGTCACATACTACAACTATGAGGCCAAACCTTAGTGAATTCACCCTGGAAAGACTGATTGTGGTCTCCATGGCTTCCTTCCCCTGGGTAAAATACTTGGTTAAAAAAAAATCAAACAAAGTCTCTCTCCCTGGCCCTTCTCAGAGAAAGGATTTGCTAGCAGAAATCTCTACCCAGACCTCTTCAGCTTTACTTTTGGCTTTTCTGAGAAAAAAAGAACGTAAGAAGTGCCGCGCTGGGTCAGAGCATCTAGCCCCGGATCCTGTCTCTGACAGTGGCAAAAATGGATGCTTGAGGGGGAAAGCATGAACCAGATACATCTGGAGTGGTCTATCCCCTAGTCATTAGCCTCCCTGGCATCCATCATTATTAGGTTAGCGATGCCAGAGGAAACATCTCCAACTCTTCTGTTCAACTGCTATTAATAGATTTATCATCCATAAATGTGTCCAGACCCTTTCTGCAACTGGCTGTGCTACCAGCCTCTACCACCTCC